AGGGTGTTGGTGTCGATACGCATCTCCTGCATACGGCAGTCGCTTCATCTTGGCCTTCAAACACACTTCACACTTGGCCTTCTCGTCGTCACTGTTGTTCTCCTTCTTTGCCGTTGGTGCGTGTCTTGTCACTTCAGGTAGTTTCTTGAGGTATCCATCATTGACATGGGCAAATCGCTCATGCAATCGCTCTTGTGTGACGACTTCCGCGGCTAATACGTCTGTTGTCATCACATCCGTCGGTTCTTCATTGTCATCGTCCACCGATGGTGTGTGCGGCTGCTCCATGACGTCAACCACTCGCTCATCGGTCGCATTCGGGCAGTCGGACGGGTCCTTGTAGATGTTGAGGTACCAGAATCGCCCTTCACACATCAATGGATACATATCTCCTCTCCTTGCCTTCAGGAACGCAGCGCCATGATCAATCTCGAGTTTGACGTTGTAATCGTCGATAAGGTGAGCAAAAGGAAAGCAGGTTGAACTTGAGCTTGGGCACATACAGCACGTTATCCACCATGACCTTCTTCTTGCCTTTGTTGATCTCTCCACAGGTAAACTTGATGCAGCCGACACCCATTGCTGGTGCGGTTGATCCATTCGCCATGATGACGTTGATGTCGTGGTCGAGTGGCTTGATTTCGTCGAAGAGCTGCTCCTCAAAACAGCATGATCGCGCTGCTCCAGTGTCCATCATCATTGCCGTAGGTGAGGTTGAACACACACCATTCACGTGCACCACCTCATCAGCCAGTTCTTCTATCTCGACTGCTCCAATCGTGGCAAAGTCCTCATTTCCTTGTTGCTGTTGTTCTTCCTCTTCGTAGACGTCGAATTGGTTGGCGTATTGGCGATTGGGACGTCGGTCGTTCCGTCTGTCGTTGGCTCGTGCTCGGGTGTTGTTCATAATGACGTCGCCATCCTTATCTCGTCGTTCTGTAGGGCGCCATGTTTGCTGCTGCTGCCCTCCTCCCTGCTGCTGTCCGCCAGTGTGCCAGGTGCGCTGAGAGGATTGGGCATAAGTGGATGAGGCCGGTCGCCAGTAGTCGCCGCTCTGTCTGTTGGTGTTGCGCGGCTGGTTCCTCCATCCACTGCCATTGTTCCTGTTGGTGTTGTTGTATCTGCTGTCAGGTCGTCTGTCAGTCCATCCCTTCCTCTCATCATCATGCTGACTACGCTGGTCTTGACGGTCATGTTGTCTTCCGGATGGACGGCCCCTCTGCTGATGTCGACGGTCTCGTTGCTCTCTTCGCAGCTGTTTCATGCGGTCATTCGCGTTGCGAAGAGCTTCTTCAAATTGCGGCCACGACAGTGCTTCTCCACGATACGCGCGGGATGCTGACTCATGCGCCATGGTTGCCTTGAACATGTCGAATCTCTCAGGCAATGCCGATAGCATGACGGCGATCATCGTCTCGTCTGGCACTGTTGATCCGACTTCATGAAGGCGGCTGACGAGATAGCTGAAGTCGCCAAGGGCGTCGTCAAGATCGTCCTTGATCATCTTCCAGCTGAAGAATCGCTGCAAGAGCTCGTGCTTGCATACGATACGATCAGGTATGAACCGCTTCCGCAGTTCTAGATACGCCCATGCACCATTCTCGCCGTGCTTCTGGTATGCTTCTTGAATCAGTCGCTTGGCCTTGTCTGCTGTCTGCAGGGCGAGGAAGCCGAACAGCCATCGGAGGTTCTTGGCGTTGGAGCTCTCCTGCTCAATCAGGATTGGCTGTCCCTGCTGGTTCACCACGGGCTGATTATTGCCATCCATCTGTGGCACCGCTATCTTCATCGGCGGGACGTCCTCATCCTTAGTAGGTAGATAGACTTTCACATCCATCTCTCTTGCTGCCAAGTAGGCTCTGAGAGTAAAGTCCCATTCACGCCACTTGATGTCGTTCTCGCCACTCCTGCCGGTAAAGACGGGGAAGGTGGCCTTTGTCTCGAGATTGAGTGTCATCTCTGCTGTCTGCTTTGTTGATGTTGTTGTTGTCTTTCTTCAAGTACTGCTAGTAGTTGACTGCTGCTGATACTGCGCAAGACACTGATAGACCTGTTAGGATCTGTCAGTTAGCTGGCGAAGACTTCGGCTCAGATAAGCAAGAACCAAGTTGCTGCGCCCATGTGCGAAAAAGGCCGGTGAGGACCTTTCCTGTAGTTAGCTGAATAGAGGATCTGCTGGGCGGTAAGTCCCAGAGTAAGAGTGCTTTTACTT